TGATAAAACCTTCCCCCCAAAATAAGTGATAGAAAAAGTGGGAAAATCCACGTAAGGCCTGTAGTTTGGTTAATAGTACTATATCAATGTGAGTTTTCTGGTTTGATAATATACCATGGTTGTAGAAGATACCACATATAGAAGCATACCTGGGAACTCTGTGTATTATTTTTACAACTCTTAGGAGTCTTAAACTATTTCAAAATAAAAAGACTCCAAAGAAAAGAATTGAGAAGAGATGACAGAAGTAACAGCTGTGGACAGATCAGCCTGGGCGACATAGCAAGACCCTGTCTCTTATAAAAAAAAAAAAAAAAAAAAGAAAGAAAATTGTATTTTAATTACCTGGGCACAGCTCTGAACTCTGTGGTTCCAGCCCCCTTCCTGACTGGGAAAGTTGACCACCTGATGATTGTCCCCTGACCCAATGAAAGGAAAACAGAAACCTCTCAGCAGAAACCCAGTGGCGCCTGATTACTGTAGAGCGGCTATTCGCTGGAAATGAAGCCAGCAAGGCAGCCACCCTGCTGTGCACACACCCACAGCTTCCAGCTGGCAGTGATGGGCTTCACTCCTAAATACGAACTGACCATCAGGGATCACCAGATGTGTGAGGATAGTAACACGAAAGACAGGGATATCAAACAATGAAAGGTAATAGGGTGATGATATGGGAACTGGAATAAAACACACCAAAAAAATTATAATTAATTCAGAAGGAGAAGCTACTGCATCTATAAAACAAGAACAGGAGGATGCTTCTAAAAAGAAGCAATCAAAAGGCTGGGTGTGGTGGCTCACACTTGTAGTCCCAGCACTTTGGGAGGACAAGGTGGGCAGATTGCTTGAGCTCAGGAGTTCTAGACCAGCCTGAGCGTCATGGCGAAATGTTGTCTCTACCAAAAATACCAAAAATTAGCCAGGCATGGTGGCACATACCTGTGATCCCAGCTACTTGGGAGGCTGGGGCAGGAGGATCACTTGAGCCTGGGAGGCAGAGGTTGTAGTGAGCCAAGGTCACACCACTGCACTCCCAGCCTGGGTGACAGAGCAAAACTCCATCTCAAAAAACAAAAATAAAAAGCAATCAAGAGACATGAACGGGCCGGGCGCGGTGGCTCAAGCCTGTAATCCCAGCACTTTGGGAGGCCGAGGTGGGTGGATCACAAGGTCGAGAGATCGAGACCATCCTGGTCAACATGGTGAAACCCCGTCTCTACTAAAAATACAAAAAATTAGCTGGGCGTGGTGGCGCGTGCCTGTCATCCCAGCTACTCAGGAGGCTGAGGCAGGAGAATTGCCTGAACCCAGGAGGCGGAGGTTGCGGTGAGCCGAGATCGCGCCATTGCACTCCAGCCTGGGTAACAAGAGCGAAACTCCGTCTCAAAAAAAAAAAAAAAAAAAAAAAAAAAAGAGACATGAACATGCTCTTAGAAATTAAAAATATATCAAATTAAAAAATAGAATTGGAACATAAAGTTGAGGATATCTGTTATAGTTGTAGAACAAAAATACACAAAGTGGAAAATCAAAAATTATTATAAACCCAGGATATATAAAATCTTCATCAGAGTTCCAGAAACAATGAAGAGACAAGAAATAGGAACGACATTTGGACTTGAAGGACATAATTTTCCACATGGCTGGGGTCCCACTGAGTATCCAGTAAAATAAATGGAAAAAAAAAAAAAAACTAATTTTGGGAGAGACCATGATGCAATTAATTATAGAATACAGGAATAAAGAGAGGCTTCCAGAAATAAGCTTTTTTTTTAAAAAAAAGTCACATGGGAGGAACCCACAACTGACTTCAACAGATGCTAAAGACAGTGGAGTAATATCTATTTTTTTTTTTTTTTTTTTTTTTTCATGAGACAAGGTCTCACTCTGTCACCCAAACTGGAGTGAAGTGGTACGGTCACAGCTCACTGCAGCCTCAACCTCCTGGACTCAAGTGATCCTGCCTCAGCCTCCCAAGGAGCTGGGGCCACAGGCACAAGCCATCACAGCTGGCTAATGTTGTTAATTTTTCTTAGTGATGGGGGTCTCAATATGTTGCCCAGGTTGGTCTCAAACTCCTGAACTCAAGCAATCCTCCCACTTCAGCTTCCCACAGTTCTGGGATTACAAGCGTAAGTAAGCCACCACACCTGACCAAATGATATCTTAAAACTTCTAAGGAAAATAGTTTCAGTCTACACTGCTCTTCTCAGCACAATAGCAAACAAATGTCAAGGTAAAGGTAATTTCAGACACATGGGGTCTCATTTACCTCTCATGCATCAGTTCTTAGATCATTTTTGGAGAGTGATCTCTCTTTTGAAGAAAGAGGAAGACGTGGACCTGGCTAACAAGCTCTGCCACAGGGCACCAGAACAGTGCTAGGTCAACAGTGACAGTCAAGCCAGACTGAGCAGGATGGCGGAGAGTCCTTAGAGGAAGGCTGGGGGAAAAGACAGCACGAGAGATTAGCTGAGAGTTTTGTACATTTGAAAAACAGTATTGACAGGCCTCAGCCAAGTCTAATACAGCATGGGGACAAATTTAACACAGATAAACAGAAAATTAGGCAAAGGTGGTGGGGATGGGGGGTGGGCAGAATGAAACAGTTGTCCATCCCAGGAAAAACAGCAAGGCTTTACCAAGAAAGGAAACCATCACCCTTATGACAAAGTCATAATGAACACCAACTATTGGTCCATCGGGAAATTGCCATCTAGTTGCATAGGAAGTCCACTGGATGGCCAGGCACAGTGGCTCACGCCTATAATCCCAGCACTTTGGGAGGCCAAGGCAGGCAGATCACAAGGTCAGGAGTTCTCGACCAGCCTGGCCAACATGGTGAAACCTCATCTCTACTAAAAAAATACAAAAATTAGCCGGGCATGGTGGCAGGCACCTGTAATACCAGCTACTCAGGAGGCTGAGGCAGGAGAATTGCTTGAACCTGGGAGGTGGAGGTTGCAGTGAGCCAAGATCATGCCACTGCATTCCAGCCTGGGCAACAGAGTGAGACTCCATCTTAAAAAAAAAAAAAAAAAAAAAAAAAACTGGAAAGGAAGAGTGAGAGGATATAAAGACCTAAGGCCCCATCTGCTGTAGCAGGAATCCAGAGTTACTCTCCAATATTGAGAAATCAAGAATATTTATAAAAAAGAATATTCAAAACTTAACAATAAATACAAAAATAGGAGTGTTAGTTGAAAGTGCTCTTGGGAGTAAGACCAGGGGTTATGGAAAGGTTGAGGCATGGGTTGTTTTTTTGTAATCGTTGTTTGATAAAAATAAGGGTTGTCATGTTCTCTCTCTCATCCTGATTCATTTATTCTGAAGAGTATGTATGTAAAGCACCTGCCTCTTTGAATATTGGGTAGTTGTTCATTCTTTTTATCATTTGGTATCTATAAATGGCGTATGCATTTGGGGAGGGGGTCGATGAGACTTGAATGGTGTGTTTGGGATGATGAATATCATAAAGCTTATTGTTCCTAGATGGAACAAATACATAAAGTTGCCACATGTTCTGAGTCATGAAGTCTGGGAAGCGTAGGAATGATTTATTTTCTGTACTTCAAAGTTAGGGTATTTTAAAACTGAGTTCAACATCCTAAATAGTTGCTTGTCTTATACCTGTCCTAGCATTCGTCTTTATCACTTTCTAGTGATACAGGAATAGCACGTGTTAAAATGGAACCTGACGCTGGCTGCACTGTGAAATCCATGAAGGGGAACTGCCTTCTCATCCTTAGCTGTGTGCACATGGCTGGGGCCACGGTAGTTACTTCACAAGTCCAAGTTTATTCACAAATAAACTAATCACTAGAAAGACACCAGGGAGGCTGGGCGCAGTGGCTCACATGTGTAATCCTAGCACTTTGGGAGGCCGAGGTAGACAGATCACCTAAAGTCAGGAGTTTGAGACTAGCCTGGCCAACATGGCGAAACCCTGTCTCTACTAAAAATACAAAAATTAGCCAGGTGTCGTGGCAGGCGCCTGTAATCCCAGCTACTTGCGAGGCTGAGGCAGGAGAATCGCTTCAACCTGGGAGGCAGAGGTTGCAGTAAGCCAAGATTGCATCACTACACTCCAGCTTGGGTGACAGAGACTCTGTCTCAAAAAAGAAAAGAAAAGAAAAATGCCAGGGACACCCAGAAAGAAGTTTCCAGGCAGGCCTGTGTCCTAGGGCCATCAACAATGTGCCATCAATGCCCACACCCCCATAATTAGGCACAGTAAAAACAAAATCTCCTGGAAATTTCTATTCAATTGATAACCAAAACATTGCCTTTATACTTAAGTAAAGGTGGCTGATCCTGCACACGTGTTCCTTAACACTAGAACGACAACCAGTAACAATCTACTCCAACCCAGGAGGATGCCCGGCCCACAGTCTCACAGTCCCTGCAGGAGATGGTAGAGACATGAATGTCTGCTGCCTGCTCCATTTATAGCAGGTTCTAGGGAGCCCCTTGGGCAACTGAGAACTGCCAGGGTTATGGGCACCTTGCTGCCTGAGAGCTCTGTTCCATCAGGTAAGGGAATAGATATTCTTCATGATTTTTAAATCAGCAGGCCGGGCGCGGTGGCTCATGCCTGTAATCCCAGCTGTCTGGGAGGCCGAGTCAGGCGGATCACGAGGTCAAGAGATCGAGACCAGCCTGTGGTGAAACACCATCTCTGCTAAAAATACAAACATTAGCAGGGCATGGTGGTGCATGCCTGTAATCCCAGCTACTCAGGAGGTTGTGGCAGGAGAATCACTTGAACCCGGGAGGCAGAGATTGCAATGAGCCAAGATTGTGCCGCTCCACTCCAGCCGGGCAACAGAGCAAGACTCCATGTCCAAAAAAAAATAAAAACAAAATTAGCATTCATTACTTTGTAGACTGCGCTATTAATCATCCTTAGTTCTCCTGGGCCACACAGCGACAAAATCTGAAAATGACTTGGTTTATTGTTTATTTTATTAATTAGTGTGTTTTGTTTGTTTGTTTGTCAGAATGTTGTGGAACAGTTCAATCCTGGGCTTCGAAATTTGATAAACCTCGGGAAAAATTATGAGAAAGCCGTAAATGGTAAGTCTGTTTTTCTGAATTGATACTCAGTAAATATTTAATTATTTTTAAATGCTTAGTATTGAAGTTTTAAATACCTCTAAATGGTAAAAATTGTTTAAATGAATTTAATCTGCAGAACTTTGCAATGACAGTACACAGTGACGTTAGCGTATTTGAAACAAGTCACTTGAATGATAGTGAGGCTACTATAAGTGATGTATTTTAATTGTCAAGCCGTGCTTTCTACTTTTTAAACCAAATTCTTGGTAAACTAACAACAAATATAAAATGCGTACATAAGACATTTATAAGTTAGTTCCCTACAGCACAGAAATTACTCCTTTTTATTTATATAAAAGAATTTCTTGGCTGGGCGTGGTGGCGCACACCTGCAGTCGCAGCACTTTGGGAGGCCGAGGCAAGCGTATCACCTGAGATCGGGAGTTTGAGACCAGCCTGGCCAACATGAAGAAACCCCGTCTTTACCAAAAATACAAAATTAGCCAGGCCTGGTGGCACATGCCTGTAATCCTAGCTACTCAGGAAGCCGAGGCAGATAAGTGCTTGAACCCGAAAGGTGGAGGTTGCAATGAGCCGAGATTATGCCATTGCACTCCAGCCTGGACAACAAGAGCGAAACTCTGTCTCAAAAAAAAAAAAAAAATCAGTGGTCCCCTTAAAAACCTAAAATGCTAGCAATCACCAAATTCTAACATGCTCAAGACAGTTCTCCCCCAAAATGTAGCAAGTATCACCCCAACACATTTAGACCCTAGTTTCACCCTCTGCCACGATTCACTGAGACTACCAAGTACCATCAGTAGAAAATGTAGTTTCTGGCTGGGCATGGTGGCTCACGCCTGTAATCCCAACAATTTGGGAGGCTGAGGCATGTGAACTCCTGAGGTCGGGAGTTCGAGACCAGCCTGACCAACTTGGAGAAATCCCATCTCTATTAAAAGTACAAAATTAGCCAGGCGTGGTGGCACATGCCTGTAATCCCAGCTGCTCAGGAGGCTGTGGCATGAGAATCACTTGAACCCGGGAGGCGGAGGTTGTGGTGAGCGGGTATCTTACCATTGCACTCCAGCCTGCGTAACAAGAGTGACACTCCATCTCAGGAACAAAAGAAAAGAAAAGAAAATGTAGTTTCTGACAGATTTGAAGGCGGCTTCCGATCAAGTTTTACATCTTTGACTTATCTTTCTTCCCCCTCCGTCCCTCTCACTCTCCCTTTCCCCCTTCTCTTTTTTTCTCTCTCCTCTTTTTTTCTCTTCTTTTCTTTCTCTTATTTCTCTTCCTTCTCTCTCCCTCCCTCCCTTCCTCCTCGGTCTCTCTCCCTCTGCCTCCCTCTTTTTTCTCTTTTTCTTTCTCTTCCCTCCTTCCTGTTTTCTTTCTTTCCTCTCTTTCTCTTTCTTTCTTTCCCTCCTCTATCTCTCCCTCCCTTCCCCTCCCTCTCTTCCTCCCCCTCTTTCTTTCTTTCTCTTCTCTTCTCTTTTCTTTTTTCTTTTCTTTTCTTTCCTGAGTTCAAGCAGGAAACTCAGGAAACTCCTGCTTCAGCCTCTCGAGTGGCTGGGATTACAGCCATGCACCACCATGCCCAGCCACTTTTTGTATTTTTAGCAAAGACGGGGTTTCACCACGTTGGCCAGGCTGTTCTCAATCTCCTGACCTCAGATTATCCACCCACCTCAGCTTCCCAAAGTGCTGGGATGACAGGCATGAGCCACCGTGTCAGGCCTCTTAATTCTCTTTTTTGCCATATTACACCTTTGATTGCTCCCTGTTGGTATTTTGAAAATAAACCTGTAGCCTCACACACGCTCAGCATGAACCTGCCCCAGGAACGCGGGGCGAGCTGGCTAGACTGTGGACTCTGGGTGAGGAGGCGCACCACTGTGTGTAGTCACTGGAAAAGCAAACTGCTCATTTACTGTCTTCTGCCTCCCTTTGCTTTCGGGGACTTCAGCAGCAGGAAGTGCAGCAGGTCTGGGAGTTTTCTCCCTTGCTCTCCAGCATTCCCCGTGACTTCTGCAGGTGCCTCCGTCCCCCAGAGAGCCAGAACTGCGCACTGCTGACTCTCCCTCGAAGACTGCTTAGTCACAAGGCCACAAAGTCATTGCTTTAGATGTCCTTGTGAAGGAAATCACTGTGACCTGCAGTTTTTTTTTTTTTTTTTTTTCCTTTCTTTCTATCATGAGCTGCCTCCCTGAGGCAGAGTTTTACAAGGTGAGTCGGTGAGCTGCCTACAGCTTAGTTTCCTGCCAACAAGCCGCCTCCCCAAAGGGCTCTCACCATTTGAGCACCTCCTGGGGAGTATTCTGTACTTCAGAAAGTATTTCCAGAACTTCTGCAGGCCATCTGGTTGTGCCTCTGCTGAAGCCATTGAGAAATTTAGGTGAATATGTAATGTCCTTGGTGAAAATTTGGAAATAGTTGAGGCAACCAGAAGTGCAGTCCCCAGTTAGGTTAGAACACCAGGAAGGCTGGGCGTGGTGGGCTCATGCCTGGAATCCCAGCACTTTGTGAGGCCAAGGCAGGAGGATAGAGTTCGAGACCCCCATCTCTACAAAAAAAAATTTTAAATTGCTCAGGTCAGGCATGGTAGCTCACGCCTGTAATCTCAGCACTTTGGGAGGCCAAGGCGGGCAGATCACCTGAGATTTGGAGTTCAAGACCAGCCTGGCCAACATGGTGAAACCCCGTCTTAGCTAAAAATATTAGCTGGGCGTGGTGACACGTGCCTATAGCCCCAGCTACTCGAGTGGCTGAGGCTTGAGAATCACTTGAAGCGAAGAGGTGGAGGTTGCAATTAGCCAAGATCATGCCACTGCACTCCAGCCTGGACAACAGAGCAAGCCTGCCTCAAAAAAAAAAATTACCTGGGCATGGTGGCATGTGCCTGTGGTCCTAGCTATCAGGAGGCTGAGGTGGGAGGATTACTTGAGTCCAGAAGTTGGAGGCTACAATGAGTTGTGATTGTACAACTGCACACCAGCCTGGGAAACAGAGCAAGACCTTGTCTCAAATAAATTAAATTAAAATTTTTAAAAAAGGAACCCAGGTAAACAGGTGAATGGCTAGGAGCATTGTACAGACCGGCGTCACAATAATATGAGTGGTGTGGGATGGTGTGGACTGGAGGCCCTGCAGAAGCTGAGCTAGCTGACAGATGCTAAGTTTCAGCAGGCACACACTGCTGCACACATAAAAGACAGCAAGTAAGCCAGGACCTGGGGTCCTTGCTGGCATGGGTGGCACACTGTTGGGGAGTGGGCGGAGTAGGGTCAGATCCCTTGGGCACTTGAATGCACACGTCAGAGCTTGTCATATGCTATGTCAGTCAGGCTGCACACATCACTGCCTGCAAACCTGGTGGCTTCAGACAGCAACAGCTGCTGCTTTCTCCTGTAAGGGCAGGGCAGTTCTCCAGACCCTTGGGACTCCCTCCTGCACCAGCAGTCTTCTGGGGCCTGTGAGGGGCTATGGGTTGGATGCACTCTCCCCATGGGGTCTTTCCCCTTCAAGGAGGCCAGACTCGGTCCTCATTCAGTAGCGGTGGCGTTCTAAGAATATAAGCCCCAGTGCCCAGCACCTCTCAAGCCTCTTCGGGAGTCATGCCTGTTGACAACCTGTGGGTCAAAGCAGGTCCCATGGTCACACCACCTGGGTGGGGACCGCATAGGCTGGGAATTCTGGGAGGTGTGATTCCTGGAAGGGCATTACTGTAAGAATCTACCATGGGCTTACCTCGTGGGCAGTGAGAGGCCACCAAAGGCTTTGAGCAGAACGTTCACCCAATGAAACCATATTTTAAGGAAAAAAATATCAGGTAGAAGCACATAGATTAGTCTAGACCTATGAAGTATTTGGCCAACCACTAACATAGAACTAGGCCAGGTACAGTGGCTCATGCCTGTAATGCCAGTACTTTGGGAGGCTGAGGTGTGAGGATTGCTTGAACCCAGGTGTTCAAGACCAGCCTGGGCAACATAATAAGACCCTGTTTCTAGAAAAACTAAAAAATCAGCCAGGTGTGGTGGCATGAGGGAGGATCGCTTAAGTCCAGGAGTTTGAGGCTGTGGTGAGCTGTGATCACACCACTGCACTCTAGCCTGGGCAACAGAATGACACCCTGACTCTTACAAAATAGATATATAACTAATATGCTTCTTTCCTTAAAACAATGAGCAGTTTTGAGATGAAGTCTCGCTCTATCACCCGGGTTGGAATGCAGTGACACGATTTGGGCTCACTGCAACCCCCACCTCCCTGGTTCAAGCAATTCTCCTGCCTCAGCTTCCTAAGTAGCTGGGACTACAGGCACATACCACCATGCCCAGCTAAGTTTTATACTTTTAGTAGAGATGTGGTTTCGCCATATTGATCAGGCTGGTCTTAAGCTCCTAACCTCGTGATCCACCCACCTCTGCCTTCCAAAATGCTGGGATTACAGGCATGAGCCACCACACCCCGCCAAAAAGATCTTAATGTGTCCACAAAAGGGGGACAAAATTATGAAAGTATTATTATTTATCTCTTCAGGCTAAATTTTAAAATTTTCAAGTTAACTTTATCATAATAGCAAAGATATTTTACAAGACCAAGAAGGTTACATAGTTTTAAATGTAAGTCAACAATTAATGAAAAAATTTGATTTAATGTGTGGATGCAAATCAAAAATTTTGTTTAAATATTGTGTAATCCTGCATGCCATTCCCCCATTAATTTGCTTTTCAGATTATCAGTACTTTCCAGCTTCAAATCTTCACACTAAGATGTTACATCTTATAACTTGATGGTTTACTGGCTCCACACCTTGGGTTTAGGGGGAGTCACTTCTTCGTTCTAGCTGAGACCAAAGAGTCAGATAGCACCATCGTTTAGAGCTGAGGAAGTGAAGCGCCCAGCCAGAGCTGTGTGCTTTCCTTCCCGCTGACTCAACACTGACCTTGGGCACGTCCCAGAATGTCTCCACTCCACTGCCCTTAGTGAGACAGGCTGATGACATTACGACCCACCTCTTAAATCGTTGGATAGATTACCTAAGTACATATATAAATGCTCATTGCTACTGTTCTTTCTACAATCACACTTTAAGGTTATTCTGAGTCTTATAATAGTACAGTAGAGCATTACATTTCGTGAAGTTGTTATATGTATAGAGTAAAAATCATAACTTTTGTAATTTTCCTGTCTTTGCCAAAAAGCAAAAAAAGTAGTATTTTTTTGCCAGAAAAAAATACTAATCTCTTGGCTTTTCATACCTTCAGCTGGATCTGCACATGAATTCTATGGCTCACAACTAAAATCCCAGCACTTTGGTAGAGGCTCAGGCAGGAGGATCGCTTGAGCCCAGGAGTGCAAGACTAGCCTGGGCAACAGAGAGGGACCCCAACTCTAAAATAATAAAAATAAAAATAATAAAAATACATATATATTTTTTGAGATAGAGGATCTCACTCTGTTGCCCAGGCTGGAGTACAGTGGTACAGCTGTGGTTCGCTGCAGCCTTGACCTTCCGGGCTCAAGCGATTCTCCCACTTCAGCTTCCTGAGTAGCTTGAACAATAGGCATTTACCACCACCACCATGCCTGGCTAGATTTTTTGTTTGTTTGTTTTTAATAGAAATGGGGTCTCCCTATGTTGCCCAGGCTGATCTCGAGCTCTTGGGCTCAAGTGATCCTCCTTCCTTAACCTCCCAAAATGCTGAGTAAAGGTATAAGCCACCGCACCCACCCCCCTCAACATTTTTTTTTTTTTTTTTTTTAATTACTGAGGAATGGTGGCATGTGCCTGTAGTCCCAGCTACTCAGGAGACTGAGGCAGAAGGTATCAGGTGAGCCTTCTGATCCCTTGAGCCCAGGAGGTTGAGGCTGCAGTGAGCCATGATCGTGCCACTGCCCTCCAGCCTGGGTGAAAGAGCAAGACCCTGCCTCTCAAAAAAAATAAAATAAAATCCACCAAGTTAAAACAATTGCTCGCTGTACATCGGGGCATGGCAGCTGGTGTGGCCTCTAGGATTTCTGAGGGCACGTTTAGCTCCAAAACACTGTGGTCTCCAACGCTCCAGGGGAAACTGATTTCTAGGTCTGAAATCAAACTTAGAGTAAAATTCCAAATAAATGTTTTTCTCCAAATTTACATTAAGCAGGCTGGGTCTGTATCATATCTTCAAGCCCCTCAAACCTAGATTGTAAAGTGAAAAAAATGTGTTAGCAGCTTCCATTTGTTCATTTATTGCTCACATTCTTAGGGCATTTTAAGGATGAGCAACCTTTGTTCAGAAAGGATAGGTAATTTGCCCCAGGAGATCACATAGTTATAATTTAGTCTTCAGAATTAGTTTGAAGGGGGCAGTATTATTTTTAAGATAATCAGAACCCACTGTGTAGCAATACAGTTTTTTCCTGTCTTTGCCAAAAAAGAAAAAAAAAAGTAGAGCATTCAATTTATTTTTTTGTTTTTTGTTTTATTTTGAGATGGAGTCTCGCTCTGACACCCAGGCTGGACTGCAACCTCCACCTCCTGGGTTCAAGCGATTCTCCATCTTCAACCTCCCAAGTAGCTGGGACTACAGGCACATGCCACCATGCCTGGCTAACTTTTTGGATTTTTAATAGAGATGGGTTTCACTGTGTTACCCAGGATGCTCTCAATCTCCTGACTTTGTGGTCCGCCCACCTCAGCCTTTCAGAGTGCTGGGATGACAGGCCTGAGCCACCGCACCTGGCCTATTTTTATTTTTGAGACAAGATCTGGCTCTGTCACCCAGGCTGGCATGTAGCGGCATGATCTCGGCTCACTGCAACCTCTGCCTCCTAGGCTCAAGAGGTCCTCTCACCTCAGCCTCCCAAGTAGCTGGGACTGCAGGCACATGCCACCATGCCCGGCTAATTTATGTATTTTTTATAGAGGCAGGGTTTGATCATGTTGCCCATGCTGGTCTCAAACTCTTGAGCTCAAGCAATCCTCCCACCTCAGCCTTCCAAAGTGCCGGGATTACAGGTGTGAGCTGCCATGCCCAGCCAAATCCCTAGTTCAACGTCAGAACACAGTTTCAGAGTGGTCTGAAACTGGCATCACGAGCAAGCAGAGCCTTCCGTGGACTTTGAGCACCTGCTGCTGAAGGTTCCTCGGGGCTGGTCAGAGACGAGGATCTGTCTCATGGGGCTGTCCCTTGGGTGGGGGCCTCCACCCTGGCATGCTCTCAATGCAGGCCTTACCTCCTGAGAGCCACATTTACCACAGCCCGAGCCTTCCTGCAGCCAGAAGGGACTGAGGGGTGTTTGGAAGCAAACCCATGTCACTTTCTCCTTTCTTTGTCTAAGTGACAGTTTTGTGTGTCACCTTTCGTGTCTAGCTATGATACTGGCAGGAAAAGCCTACTATGACGGAGTGGCCAAGATTGGTGAGATTGCCACTGGGTCCCTCGTGTCGACTGAACTGGGTGAGTATCTGTCCCTTTATACATAAAGCCCACTCACCATTCTGTGAACCCTGATATAAAAGCATGGGATGGCCCGGTCAAGAACAGAGCAGAGAGCTGGGCCAGCACGCTGTAATTCTGTTTCTCTGCAGCCTGTGGAAATGGAGGGTGGGCCGGGGCTGGTGCTGGAGGCCTTGTTTTCTAGCTAGTCTCCCGGCTATCCTAGGAAGTTGAGCTTCTGCCTGGGGTGTCTGGGCTCTCGCCCTTCCCACTGGGAGTTTGACCTACATTCCTGATGGGCAAGCCAGGCCTCCTGGGGCCTCGGACTGTGGCCGGAGTGTTTCCTGTGACTCACCTACCAGAAAATCCAACTCCTTGACGTTGCTCTCTTGGCCCCCGCTTCTTTCCTGGTTGCTTTCAGCGGTGATTTTTCCGGTTCTGCTGGTATGAATCGCTCTCCTGTGCAGGCAGAGATGGCGGTCACACCCTGGGCAGTGCCCGCTGCTGAGGGGATCTGGGCTTCTGTGTACAGAGCCCTTCACTGTCAGGAGGAAAGGGGAGCTTTTAAAACAGCCCCACACAGCACCCTCATTTCAAACACATGTTGAATGTATTTTATTGTACAAAGTGTAAGATTCTTGGCTTAGCAACAATCATCATTAATTTGCAAGGCTCTGAAAACTGGAGGAAAATAATGGTAAAGTGTGTGTGTGTGTTTAAAGAAAAATACATCCATGCCCAGTTAAAAAGTAGGAAGGGGAAGCAGAGGAGGGGGCGGGTATCACCAGAGGAAGGTGCAGGCAAGTCACACAGTTTCTCCATGAAGTCGTCTTCAGAATTGTTTGGGAAGCTCTTAACTGACCCATAAAAGACGAGGAGAAAAGGAGAGGCCTGACAGCAGAGCTGGGCTCTTGGGAGCAGAGGGATCCGGGTCCTCACGGCTCTGAGGACTTTGCACTCAAGTTTACAAAGCCATAGGCACACGGTAGATCATATGCTGGAAGTGATGCTGTTAGTGAATAACTCAGTACTGTGAGAGAGAGTTACATATATATTTTATTTATTTATTTTTTTAGTGAGACAGAGTTTCTGTCACCCATGCTAGAGTGCAGTGGCATGACCTGAGCTCACTGCAACCTCTGCTGCCCAGGTTCAGGTGATTCTCCTGCCTCAGCCTCCCAAGTAGCTGGGATTGCAGATGCATGCCACACCTGGCTAATTTTTTTTGTATTTTTAGTAGAAATGGGGTTTTACCATGTTGGCCAGGCTGGTCCCGAACTCCTGACCGCAGGTGATCCTCCTGCCTCAGCCTCCTAAAGTGTTGGGATTACAATCGTGAGCCACCATGTCCAGCCCATACACACACACACACACACACACGTGTGTGTGTGTGTGTGTGTGTGTGTTTTTGTAGAGATGGGGGTCTCTCTATGTTGGCCAGGTTGGTCTTGAACTCTTGGCCTCAAGCAATCCCCCCCACCTTGGCATCTCAGAATGCTAGGACGATTGGCCTCATCCAGCCCAGTACTGCTATATTTAGTAGACTCATTTACATGCAGAAAATTTTCAAAGTCCTGCCTGTGCCCCAGTTGGTGCCATAATCCCTCATGTGCCAGCGAGGACGGAATCATAGTAATTACAGTCCAATCACAATGAATTTAATAAAATACAGAGACTGCCAGATGTAGACAGAAGCAGGATATTGTGGGGAGTTGTTGAGATGATTATAAGCTTTCAAAAATAGCATGAATACGAAGAAACCTCCTCTTGGCGTCATGCATCAGAAAGAAAACATGTGTGACCCTTACATTAAAACATATGGTGCTTTGACTCACCGCACCCAGTTTGCCTTTTTAATGTTTTATGGGTCCTGCCGCTGTTTAAATAAGACTTCTGTTCCACACCTTACTTGAGTCAGCCGTGAGTTCCTAATGTTGAAACAGCTATTTCCACAGCAACAATGTTGTTATTAAACACAACACAGGTTTAGAACTTTCATTTCAGTGAGGAAAATATTTTGCAATGGTGAAATTTCTTTCATGTGTGTGCATATATATGTGTGTGTGTGTGTGTGTGTGTGTGTGTGTGTGTATATTTTTTTTTTTTTTTTTTGAGACAGAGTCTCACTCTGTCACCCAGGCTGGAGTGCAGTGGTGCAATCTTAGCTTGCTGCAGTCTCTGCCTCCTGGGTTCAACCGATTCTCGTGCCTCAGCCTCCCGAGTAGCCTGGATTACAAGTGCCCGCCACCATACCCAGCTAATTTTCATACTTTTAGTAGAGATGGGGTTTTACCATGTTAGCCAGGCTGGTCTTGAACTCCTGACCTCAGGGGATCGCCCACCTCCACCTCCCAAAGTTCTGGGAGTACAGGCCTGAGCCACTGTGCCTGGCCACTTGTATGTATGTATTTTATTGAGAGGGAACAGAAATAACTTTCTGTTTTGTTTTGTTTCAAGCTGCCCTCTTGCTTAATATTCGCTATCTCATGTAGTTACTGGTTTTTCTTCTCGTTTCTAACAATCCCATCGTACAATGATATCTCAGGAAGAGTTACTTTTGGAGGTCTCCTGTTAACTTCCTTGACTGGCTCCATTTTTATTTTGTTATTGATACAGTTGACACTAAAATGCCACCCCATATCTGTTTAAATTCCCTGTATGGAAGAGTTGTGGACAATTCATAGAAAAAAAGGCCAAAGGTAGATCGTATTCTTCTCATCTTCCAAGAAGATTTTATTGTCTAGTTACTGTGTTTCAGTATTTGGTATTCACAACTTCCTCATGAAACTTAAAACTCTCATATGAGAAAACTCAAAGGGGTGTGAGTTTCACATGTGTGAAGATCATGAATCATTTCAAAATGTTCTTTCCATGTGCCTTGAGGGTTGGCCTCTGTTACAGCAGCACCATTTCCAATGTCTAGCTGTGGATACTTCCACTTAGATATCTCCCTCCTGGCATCAGCTCACTCATTGTTGTGTGAATAACACAGGATGCTTTTGCCCAAAAGTAAAAAAACGCCCAATGAACAGTGACTTATGCAATCAGCGTCTTTATGATTCCACATGAGGAGCAGCAGGCTCTCAGTTAATCGTCACTAGGGACCTAGGTTCCTTCTGCCTGTCTTCTCGTCCCCATCCTCATTTCCTCATGGTACCGGCATGGCTGCCACTGCTTGCCCAACCATCACATCCTGTCTCTCCCCATTGTCTCCAAACGCAGGAAGGGTAATTTCTTCTCAGGTGTGCCAGTAATCTTTGCCCCAAAGGTCCAGCTCACAGCCCCTTATGCCCCATGGCCCAATTTAGATCACATGCCCAGGACCCAGCGGCCAGCAAAGCTCCCCAGGCATGGGCCAAGGAACAGAGCAGAGAGGACATGGCTGTTAGGAGATGGCCTGGTGACAGCCCCCACATCAGCATCTCTGGTGTTCAAGGTCTGTTTTCAACAACTTTCAGTGAAAGAGCAGGACTGACAGAATGATTAGCGGTGCCCTGGGTGTACATGGGACCCCCACGTTTTGTGTGTGTCTGAGTGGAGCAATATTCTTCTCCCTGGCGGGCTGGTGTGTGGTTTTACCAGCATGCTCATACTTCAAACTTCATAATTGCGGCTGGACACAGTGGCTCAGGCCTGTCATCCCAGCATTTTGGGAGGCTAAGGAGGGTGGATGACCGGAGGTCAAGAGTTTAAGACCAGCCTGGCCAACATGGTAAAACCCCGTCCCTAATAAAAATTTTTAAAAACTAGCTGGGTGTGGCGGCGCACACCTGTAATCCCAGCTACTTGAAAGGCTGAGGCAGGAGAATCACTTGAACCCAGGAGGTTGAGGTTGTGGTGAGCCAAGATCGTGCCACTGCACTCCAGCCTGGGCGACAGAGTGAGACTCTTGTCTCAAAACAAAAAATCTCATAATTGCCCAGGCTGACCTTGAACTCCTGGGCTCAAGCGATCTGCCCACCTCAGCCTCCTAAAGTTCTGGGATTACCACCCAGCCACTATGCCCAGCTGTGAGTATGTTCTTATATAGTGTGCCTACAAATGTCTGAACTACCTTTTCCCATGTGTGGTTTAAGACTGCCCACCTTTACAAGATAGCAGTAGTGACAGCAAACCTTGGGTACCTGCTGTGAGCCGGGTGAGGGACCAGGCCAGTATTGTATGTGTTTCATGGCCAAGTTCTCTCAGCAGACCTGTGAGTCAGATTTAGGTGTCCATGCTGTTTTATAGGCCCCACAGTGAAACTACCTGCCCTGGGTCTCACACAATTAATTGATCTGTGCTTCAGCTTTAAAATCTGATTTTTTTCAACTCTGTCATCCTGCACTTCACTGATGCAAAGGAAACAGGAAAGAGCCAGCCCAGAAGGGGCCCCTGAAGAGGAAGAATATGCGACCCCCACAATGGGGTCTTTTTCTTTTATTTTTTTGAGACAGAGTCTCGCTTTGTTGCCCAGGCTAGAGTGCAATGGCGCAATCTCAGCTTACTGAAACCTTTGCCTCCCGGTTTTAAGCGATTCTCCTGCCTCAGACTCCCGAGTAGCTGGGATTATAGGTGCACGCCACCACGTCTCGCTAATTTTGTATATTTTCTTTTCAGTAGAGATGGGGTTTCACCATATTGGCTGGGCTAGTCTCTAACTCCTGACTTTGGATGATCCGCCCACCTTGACTTCCCAAAGTGCTGGGATTACAGATGTAAACCACCACACCCAGCCTGACCAGGACCTTTTCAAGAAGGAGATGAGAGGTGATCATTAGTGTTTGAGCGGCTGGCAGGTGTCATGTTTAGTGGTCACAGTCCCCTTGGAAATGGTGGTTTCATTGGTGTTCTCACCATAAATGCCAGGAGTTATGGGGTAAAGATGATGGAAATCACAGCGGAGTAGTGTGCGTGTGGCCCTTCTTAGAAGTATTGCTCAGCCCACTGGGCACAGTGGCTCACGCTTGTAGTCCCAGTACTTTGGGAGGCCGAGGCAGGCAGATCATGGTGGTCAGGAGATTGAGACTATTTTGGCTAAC